CATTTTACAGATGAGGCGGCACAGACCAGACAGGCAGCGAATCTTGCCACGGGCATGGTGGGTAACTAGCCAAGCAGAATGCACCGTAGGCCAACCTGCTCCAAAGCCCAGCACCATCTGCTGACAATATCTTGCAGGAAGTCAGTGGGGACCTGACTCAAGGCCAGTATGCATGCTTCTGGGGAGCGTGTCCACCTAACGAAAGTTCTCTGTTACAGTTAGTTTAAATCCGTGCCCCATTTCAGGTAGCACGATGTGACTCTCACTGTGAGGAGAGCAGGTGCCCCAGGCCACCCTCCCGACTGCCCAGCGTCTCTCTCTCCTGTCCAGCTGGCTGGTGGTGCCAGTCTGTGGAGGATACTAACATTTATAAGCACACGTATTTCACAGAGCCCAACTTAAAGCGTAGTAGGACCACAGTCCTTCGTCTTAGCATGGCCAAAGCCCTGTAGGGTAAGGTATAGCCTGACTTGACTTGTCCTGCTTTATCTAAAATAACACCTTCTGTTAAGGTCCAGTTGACAATTGTTTGATCATTTATTCGAAGTCCAGGGGAGGAAAATTGTCCAGATCAGAGCCTGAGCAGTGAGAATTTGACTCCCCTTGTTTTTTGGGGTGTGGGAGTTGGCACCCCCTTGCGTATTTCCTGAAAGGGGATTGCCTTCTATATACAGTTTAGATCCGCAGTCATTTGACCAATGAAACCCTGTTTTACAGTTAGGACATTTTCGTTTTGCTCTGGTTTGTTTTATTTTCTCTTGTTTGCCGTCCTTTTGAAAATGAACTTCCTTTCCACATTTAAAACATGTGTTAGGTTGGAGAGCCGCAGCGAGAACTTGGGCTCTATGAGTTTCAGTGCCCACATTCTGGCAGGCTCTGACCACATCAGCAAGAGTGGGATTTTTATTTTTTATTGGGAGAAGGACCTTTTGACAGTTTTCATTAGCATTGTCAAAAGCCAATTGTGGTGAAAGTACCTGGGCTGCCTGAGCATTGTCAATTTGTCTAGTTATGATGTCTTGAAGACAACTAATAAAATCTAGATAAGGCTCAGTGGGACCCTGTCTAATAGTAGGGAAAGATTTAGTGGCAGCGTTTGCGTCAGGAATTCTGTTCCAAGCCTTTAGGGCTGCAGAGCTGTTTGGTCAGGCACTTGCTGAGGAAGTAAAGCCTGTGCCTGAGACGTTATAAAATCTCCTTCCCCAAACAGCATGCTCATGTCAACTTGAACACTGTTCTGCATATTTTCTAAAACAGTAGCATGTAAGGCCTCCCGAAATTCTTGTAGCCACACAGTATATCGAACAATTGTTAAAACAGTTTTTCCAGGTGTTTTCCAATCCCGAGGGGTCATATTATACCCGTTGGCAGTGGATCCTAAGTATCCCTTAGTGAAAGTGCTACGTAAGCCATTTTCTGTGATGCTCTTTTTAAATCTATCAAACAAGGAGAACAGGAGGTTTTCACGTCTGGACAGAGTCCCAGTTCTTACAACAGGAAAGAGATGACAGTTGTCAATTTCCAGGCTGTGTCCTTCTTTATGGCGGAATCCATCAAGGGAGCGGATGAACGGTTCACCTCTAAAGGCGGGGGTGGCGCAGGACCCGAGGGCTCTTTTACCTCCTCTTCAGTGACATAGTCACGTTTTTGTTCTTTGTTAGGGTCCCGGAGAGATCTTAAAGCAAAATGACGTAAGTTCCAAACCATTAAATGTGAAGCCTTAACGGGACCTATTGCATTTTTTGAACAGCGACCAATTCACTCCCAATCCTCAGTATCACTTGTCCCTTCCTTGGGATACCAAGGACATGGTTGCCTAATAACCACTAACAGTTCTACCAGCTGCCGTTTAGCTACTTTAGAGCCGGCTGCTTTAAGGAGACATTGGAGCTGTAGTTTATGTTGGGTCTCCTCTTTAGATAAGGGAGTCCCATATGTTAAAAGAGAAAGAAAGAGAAACAAAACCTTTGGGCTGAAAAGACCTAACCTGACCTGCGGCAGATGCGACACTCATCGAAAGCCGCCTGTGATTCCCTGGCCGGGACTTCCCCTGCTGGGATGCGTCACGATAAACGTTGGATGTCCTTTCCTCTCCAAGGCTTGGCAGGTCGGTCTCTGATCCATGGAGGCATAAATTCCTCACACGGGGCACCATTTGCTCATCGCTCATCGAAAGCCGCCTGTGATTCCCTGGCCGGGACTTCCCCTGCTGGGATGCGTCACGATAAACGTTGGATGTCCTTTCCTCTCCAAGGCTTGGCAGGTCGGTCTCTGATCCATGGAGGCATAAATTCCTCACACGGGGCACCATTTGTCACCTCTCCCAGGGTGATGGAGACGCAAAGCCATTACACAAAGCCCATTTCTCCAGAGCAGTGGGATGCCCAGAAGGGGTTATTTCCTAGGAAATCTCTCTTGAAGGATTTGCCTGGAATTAACCCCTTCCTTGCAAATCCTTCAAGAGAGAATTCCTAGGAATTAACCCCTTCCGGGCCTCTCACTGCTCTGGAGAAATGGGCTTTGAGTAATCCCTTGCGTCTCCGCCACCAGGGGAGAGGTGACATCAGTCTTTGCAGGAGATCCCTGAGGTCTCCTTTTAACTTTCCCAGGAGCAGTGTGGTAAAACCACATTCGAACCAAATTAAGACAGACCTGCAGAAGGAAGTGGCCTGGTGATACCAGAAACATTTGGGGAGCTGTTGACATTTTACTACCATCTTCGTGAGTCTGTGGCTCCGACTGAGAGCAGCGCTGTCGAGTCTCCACAGCTCAGGGCCTTAAATCGATTCAGTCATCAAACAGGCAGGAAATTGAGAATCCTGAGAGGGAAGAAAGAGCACGTAGGAAATGTGTGTTCTGTGCTATATGTGGCAAAGGACAAATTTTGAAAGGTATTTAGTGCCTCCAGCTGTTTTCTAAAGCATTTCTAATTCTAATTGAAACCCTTGATAAAGTTCTGAACTGTAGATATTGAAGGAACATATCAATTAGCATTTTGGATAAAGAAAAATGTTTACCTCTTTCACAAAAGTTGAGTATTAGTGAAATCTAAAATGTAAAACAAACGTGTTAACATATGTGAATAATGGCTGGAGGATTTAATTCCATTAAATACTGAATATTTTTATAGACTCAGAAGAATGTGTTTTAAGTTCTAGTTCTTATTTTTATGAGTGTGCAACCCTCGGCAAACTGCTTAATTTTCCTATTTCTTGTCTCTATTTTTTCCTCAATTGAGAAACTGAAATTCATTCAATAACAGCACTTTGCCAGGCACCAGAAGCACCACATCGAACAAGAATTTGTCCTTCCCCCAAGGAACTTCCGTGAACGGTGTTTGTGTGCATGTGCACACGTGTGTGTGCACACGTGTGTGCATGCGTGCACAAATGCGCGGGGGTGGAATGATACATTTAAAGTTGGTAGTCGCCACATTTCAATAGTCCACAAGAATGATAAAGTACCAAGTTGCACACTTAACAAAAAGTGTGCACATTTTATGTGTGACAAAGCTTTACAACACTCCTAATTGGACTTGAACAAATAGACATCCCATTCTTGCTTTGTGTAGCTGAAGTTGTGAGCACGCCAGTTTTCTTTCATTGTAATAGGTGAATTTAACACAATCCCAGTAGGAAATATTAGTTATTGTTTCTGGAGATAGTCAAATTGATTCTAAAGTTTCCAAATGAAAATAAACAAACCGTACAGCAGGAAATTTCCACAAAGAAACAAGTGAGAGGAATACTAGTCCTGCCATATTTTAAAGCTTGCCACAAAGCCTCAGAATTCAACCCGTGTGATGTGGCAAACACGCGGACAACAGGACGTCTGGGAGAGACCGGACAACGCGGGAAAGTACGATGGGACGAAGGCCCGGCCAGTGGGCTGTCCACCGAGAGCAGGAGGGGACACCTGAGCGCGCTGCCAACACCCTGGAGTGCCAGTGCAGAAGGGGTTCCACACGAGCACCAGAATACTTTAGAGGGGTACATTTCCTTATAACCTGGAAGCGGGGAAAGTCCCATAAATTCAACTACAACACCCTGGAGTGCCAGTGCAGAAGGGGTTCCACACGAGCACCAGAATAGTTTAGAGGGGTACATTTCCTTATAACCTGGAAGCGGGGAAAGTCCCATAAATTCAACTACAAAAAAACAAAGCTTTTTGTTTTGTTTTGCCTTTTCTGATAGCATAAAACAGTGTGGAAAAACTCAAAAGACAGAGACAACGAGGAGGAAATATTTGTAACTTACATTACAGAAAAAGGTGATTATTTCCTACGATATAAGGAATTCGAAAAGTCGGGAAGAAATAAAAACTGTAACAACGGGCAAAATACACAGGTCACATACACAGTTATACAAAGTGATTCCCAAACAGAAAAATGCTCATCTTCACCCACAACAGGAGGAACGTCGCCCCGCTTAACGTGCTGAAGCCTTAGGGTGTGTTTTAGTTCCCGGTAGGGCGAGTCGCCCTTGTTTTATTTTTCAGAAAAAAACAAAAATTGATTAACCTAAGGAAGCTTGACGTCTCGGGGAGGTTACTTGTCCAGAATCATTTCTGCTCGTCCATTTTTTTAAGTCCTGCATCTTTCAGGAGTGTTTTCCTCACAAAGTCTTCAAAAATGTTCTGTTTTATTTTTAGGTATTTAACATTTTTAGTGGCTTTGACATATCACATCAGTGTGTTACTAGGATTTTTGTAACAATATTCATAAGTGAGATTGGACTATAGTTTTTTGAAAAGATATAATCTGAAGTGGGTTTGCGGCAGGGGCAGGCTCAGAGGAGAGGTGAGCGTTTGGTTTTGGACAAATTAGGTCTGAGATGCCGCCACATGCAGAGCGTCTCACAGACTTGCCACGTGCACCGCCCGAGGTGAGCCTGGAGTGCAGGGCAGGGTTACGCTGCCTGATAGTGGAGGTGGTGTGTAACCTGCAGATGAACGATGGGGCCCCTGCTTACCTCACCAAAAGAAAATAGGGAAAAAAAGTCAAGATTTTTAAAAACATTTATTTAGTGACAACTCAACCATGTCACCATAAATTGATTTACTGCTTGAAATGAAGAAACATAGCCCTATAAAGAAGAAATAGACAGCAGCTTTTTATAAGACATAGTAGCCAAACGTTTTGTGTAATTGTATGTTTCTACTGTAAGTGTATGCATACAATTTTTGAAGATGTAAAGATAGTTTTTAAGAATTCATATTCTAGGTAATACCCACAACTCTAAGTATACTTAATAGCCTACTTAAGCTGATTTATTTTTCTAGTCACTTTGCAAATAGAAATGGATGAATTGACATTTGAGGCTCTATTCCAAGATTCTCAAACTTAAGGAAACTGTTATCATATACATGGCCTGGTCGCTGTTTAGTGATGTTTGAAAATGAACACAAAAGTATTACAATCATATAAACTGTAGGATATTAACTATTAAGTAGAATATGTGATAAAATCAGTACAAAGTATTTAAGGATATATAAATTAACTAGATATAGAAAACACAAATCTTTTACATACTAGCTAAATAGTCTGTAGAACAAAAGTATTTTTAAATTTGTATTAAACATTGCTTAACTGGATAGTTAGCCCTATCTGTAGAAAAATTTTTAAAAATTTTTCATGGAAGAAAATAAAATAATCTTCAATTCATGGTTACATAGTTGGCTGGAAAAATGCCAGTTTGGCCTCGAAGTGTTCCTTCCCACCAATCGAACTGCGAATCTGTTTTGGATATAACTGTGATTCTGTCTCCAGCTTGAAAATTCAAATCCCCAGGCTGTTGTCCTTCAAAGGAATATAGTGCTGTCACTTCCATAGGTTGATTTGAATTGCCTAAAACAAGAAAAAAAATTTTAAATTATTCATGTTTTTGGGGGGAAATTTGGGAGCATGTGTAGGTAAGATTTAAATGAACTGCTCCAGGCTTGCCATTCTGATGCCTGGGAGGTAGGCAGGACCCACAGCAGACACATTGTATGACTTCCACCACCTTATTAAACTTATATATTCCTCCTTTGAAAAGAGCAAATGTTTAGCAATAACATCCCAAATCCACATAAGTCAGAACTGATCATTATTATGTACCTGTGTATTTAGCAAATGTTTGTGGTTATAATTGTTTGAATTTTGAATAATCTTTAAGATAATATTATTTACATTTTTCCATTTTAATACAATAGTCATTACTATTGGTCTGAATGATTGTTTCCCTCCCAAAAGTGTATGTGGAAATCCCAGTCCCCAAGGTGATGGTGTTAGGAGGTGGGGCCCACGTGGACGGGGTCTGTGTGTGCAGAAGAGGCCTGAGGGAGCTTGGTGGCCCTGTCCCCCAAGTAAGGGCACAGGAAGGAGGTGCATCTGTGAACCAGGAATCAAGACCTCACCAGACACTGAATTTCCAGCACCATGATCCTGGGACTTCCCAGCCTCTAGAGGGTGGGAGGTAAATTTCTATGTTTATAAACCACCCAGTCTATGGCTTCCATGAACGATAGATGTTAGAGAAAAGCTGACATTTATGCCCAAGATTATATCATAAAAGGTTTAATTTAAAAGCTGTGCTCTTTAGTCATTGGTTTTGAGGATTCCAGCTTGAGTATGTTTTGCTGTTTCACCAGAAGACATTTTTTCTCTCTGGGCTTCATGGCTGTATTTATTTCTGTGCTTAGTTGATCCAATGTTTCAATATCAGATGAAATGCAAATTAGCACATCGAGCAGTATAACTACATATGTTTAACAAGTATTGCTAGACAATGTGTGTAACTTAACGTATTGTAATAGGAAAAAAATACTTTGAGAATTGAGCGTACTCAACTACGTGGAGTTTCATCCTTCTATGTTTCATATAATTTTGTGCATAAATCAGGCAATGGATGCTGTTACATGCATTTAAGTACAGATACACATAAAACATCAGCATGGAAATTGTAAAACCAGTTCCTTTTTGAACCCATATACTATAATAATGATAATTTTTAAAAATTGAACTTGCCTGTCGGTAAGAATTAAAAATAGTCAACACTTTAATTAAACTGCATTGACTAAAACACTGAATTTGCAGCTCATACAAGATGGAGCTACAGTTCTTTCTATAGATATGTGACAGCAGCCCCGTCTACTGGCCGGGCTCTACAGCAGCCACTTTCATGTGCTCCACCTAATCCTCGCACCTGAGGACACGGCTACGGTCGTCCCTACCTCACACGTGTGAGCTGGGGCTTGGGGACATCAGGTAATTTGCCCAAGGTCGGAGAGCCCTCCGTGGAGGGCGGGAGAGGTGGCTGTGGGAAGTTTGTCTCCAGGCACTCTTAATCAGTATTGACACCAAACCCCAAGATCCTGAGCAACCACACAAATATTCCATCGTGTTCAACAGACTCAACTTGCATTTATCAGAGCACCTTATGTTTATTAGGCAAGTCTCTGGAGGAGGATCGGAATATTTTCCTGCACCACTCGGTTACCCAGACTCTACCACAGTGGGAATGTCTGCTGTCGATGATCCCGACTAATCCCTGATAACTGAGCTGATCATGGACACTTTAGGAATATAGCTCATAATGAAGTCAGGAGAAGAAAGATACGATGAACTAAACGAGAGAACAAAGAGGGTCACGGAGCTGGTGCAAGTCAGCCCCACATTCTGCTGCTGATGAGACGTGAACACACCAGGAATGGGCCGGAGGGCAGAGGGCAGAGTGGCAGGGCTCAGGCTCCGCAGGGAGCGTGGCAGCTGCTGCTGGGCTCAAGCAGGTCAACGTCCCACGTTCCTCCCTTCCCCAGCCTGGAGCTCAGGAGAGGCCGGGCACTGCTGGGAGAGCTGCTGAGGAACGTGGCCGGGGTGTGCTGCGACTGTGCCTGCCCGACCCCTCAGTCAGGCCGATGCTTCCACCCCTGGGGAGCAGAGCGGGACAGCTCGGGGCCCAGCTGCGGCTGGAGAAACGCAGCCACGTGAAGGTGGCGCTGAGGGTGGCCGAGCAGAGGCGCGGCTCCGGGACAGCGTCTACCTTCAGAGACGAAGGTTCACAGCCATTCAGCGCCACGCCTTATTAGTTATTTTCTTTCAAAAATCTCCAAATGACTTAAAGTTCCTCTTTAGTATAAATATTAAGGATAATTTCTACAAGGAGAAGTTTAATGCCCACAAAGGAATTCATTAAAAAGAAAAAGAAGAAAGAATTATTAGTTATTTTCTTTCAAAAATCTCCAAATGACTTAAAGTTCCTCTTTAGTATAAATATTAAGGATAGTTTCTACAAGGAGAAGTTTAATGCCCACAAAGGAATTCATTAAAAAGAAAAAGAAGAAAGAAAGGAAAACAGGTGAGCCAAGGAGCGATGTTCTTCTGTGAAAGGGACCACCCTGCTTGCTGGGAAGCAAAGCCCTCTGAGTTGCTAAAAAAATACTGGGCATCACAGATGCCTCTCCTCCTGCGTGACGGCTGCCTTTAAGTTGCATATTTCTGTGCTCAAAAAAATCTGAAGCATCTTTGAAGCAATTGGCCATTTCCATTATAATATTCACGTTTAATACAAATAGTGGTTATTTTTCTCTCCCAAATCAGGAAACAGAGTTAGATTACAATCAGCATTTGGTGACTGACAGCTGCCCTGAGGCTCACAATTAGCGAGGCTGGGCCCTGGGACTTACCGTCTTACCGCAGCTCACTTTCTCACGGAGCCTGCATAATGAGACCCAGGTGCAGACAGCACATCTGGACCCAGACGTGTTTCAGGAGGAAAATGTCAGCCTTTGAGAGGTCCACAGGGTAGAGAACGCGGCCTTCACTTCCGGTACACACCTTACTACTGTCAACTACACTGTGCTGATGGGTTGGTGGTTCTGATTCTGGCACCCACATCTCCCCAGGCCACGTGTTGGGGAGGTATCTCCAGCTTCGGGGACTAAGTCTCCTTTAGGAGTGTGTATCACTGGTGAATCAGCCAGATGAGGCCACCAGATGAGGCCACAAGGGGAGACCAC